GTAGTGTAACTGGAATTGTCAGTTTGCATGTTTGATCATGACATGTTTTGCCACGTCAGGGTGTTAGTCATGGTAGTGTAACTGGAATAGTGATCCTGAGCCTCACCATGCTGACCATGTCATGTACCTTTGTTTTGCCACGGCTAGCCTTTTCTACATGTCAAGTCCTGTCTTCATCAGGCGCGGGTGGCGAGAAGGGTTTGAAGATGAGAACAGCAAACCTTTCTTTACAGCAATTTTGACAGTCAAGCTGAACAAGCCTTCAGTCTTTGTCCTGGAGTGTGTCAGGGCCCCAAACAAATCCTGATGCCCTGCGAAAAGCTTGCCAGTCAGTCACACTTGACGTCGTGTGACTTTGCTGAGGTGTCTAGTGTGGCACAGGGACACACGTCGGCGGACGGTGGAAATGACCTTGAAGCAATGGTTGACTACATCAACGAACATTTGGATAACTATGTCTATGTTTGGGCTGTCACGCAAGATCGAAACCCAACGAAGTTCAATTTCCCCATGCTGCGTCCCAGGCAAGGTTTTGTCACATGTTCACCAGTGATGTCTAATAGTTAATATTAGTCTGTTTGTCGGTGACGTTGTTTGTGGCAGGTTTTACGTGGTTGGCATATTGAAGCTAAGTAAGTTGGACAACGCCCAGCTTCTCCAGAAGATGGACTATTTTGGTAACCAGGTGAAGTCTGCGACGGCCCCTTTCCGGGACTTCATGACCTTCCTGGGCTTGAGGTCCACGTTGAATTGGGAACCCTTGTGACTGGGAAATGGTATTTTGACATGAGATAGGCTTTGACATCAACCTTGGAAACATGCATGCTATGTTGACATGAGGTTTGAAGGTTGGCATGGCTTTGCCTCGAGGGTAGAACTAAGACACGACACGGTCATGACATATTTGCACATTGACATGAAGTAGTGTGTCCGGATGTGTCCGGCGCCATGGTAATACTTAAAGTGACAGATGGTTGTAGTCGCCCGCGCCAAGGCACACCATCCCGACCGTTGCTACGATGGCTGTCAGGTGCGATTGCAATTTAGATCCGAACACTGTGTGTGCAAAGCGTCCTTGCAAGGGCGCTGAATGTCGCAGGTCAAACTCAACGGACGCTTGCAAATGGCGTTCTGTGCACACAGAGTACTTGTTGAAGCACATGTCCTTGATCAACTTACCCACTGAGAAGGAGAAGGTGACGTATTGTGAGGCGCTGGAACTATCTGGCAAGCAAGCCCCATGTTCCCCCAGGGAACGGAACCTTCTCAACATCATGTCATACCATGCGGACTCCATGGCAAGCACCCTCCTGATTTTGGACAAAAGCCAATCCATTACCCGCACGCAAGTGCAACCTGCCCATAGATTGTCATGAACACTTGTCATGGGTGATTTTCAGTTATTATTAATGAACTACTAACCGCCCAACATTTGTTTGTTAGTCACTTAAGGCGGATGGACGGAACAGTGCCGATGGTATGCACCAGCAGCGCATTGTGGGTGTTTGGGACGGGGTGCGAGCTGACAGCAGCGCAGCTGGCAGCATTATTTGGGCACAAGGATTCACTTTTTGGTGGCCAAACAGAGAGAGGGGTGCAGGGTCTACTTGGAAACTCAATGCATTTGGCAGAAGCCAGGGTCTCAGTTTCTCTCGGTTTACCCCATACATAGCCCCTACCACCAACTACCGTGGCTTTGCTCAGGGGTCGTACATTGCCTTACCGGCCATTCCTGAGGTTGGCGCGCTCCTCTCCTCAGCCCTCTTGATCAAAGGAGGGCTGCTCTGAGAACCTTCAAACTTGCCAATGAGCAATTAGATTCGGATTAGATTGGAAAAAGTAGCGGTCATGTCATGTATTTGAGTCAGTCATGTGATTGTGTCGTGTCATGTATTTGAGTCATGTCAGTCATGTTATTGTGTCATGTCATGTACTTGAGTCAGTCATGTAATTGTGTCATGTCACGTACTGAGTCATGTAACTGTCATGTCATGTCAGGTGATAATTAAAACCCTCAAGCAGCCTCATGTCATGTCATGAGTCATGGCAATTTAAGTCCTGGTCATGTAATTTGGCTTATTAGCAGTCTCATGTCATGCCATGTCGTGTCTTGCATTGGCATGTCATGCCTCCTGCTGCGTCATGTCAGGGAACACGGATTTCATGTAGCACCCATGCCATGTGAATTTGTGTCAGGGCCATGTAATGGCCATGTTCTGTCATGTATTTGTTGATGGCATTTCACTTTCAATAGTCAAGAGTCAACCGCCTGCTGTTGGGGTTTCGGTCATGGAGCGCAGTCCAAAGCGGCGCCGTGTTTGGCAAGCTGGTGAGATGTGGCTCCTGACCTCTGACCCGAATTGGATCTTGGATGATGATGCAGATACCCAGTGCTTAGTTTACATTGGCCCTGGCAAGAATGATGCTGGAACCCCTGCCTCACCCAGTGAGGGCGCTGAGGGTGTGGCGGCTGTTGACAGGGTTGATCAGGCCACTTGTCCTGATGTGAAGGCTTTGAAACCGAGCCCTGAAGCACAGTGATAGTGATTAGTAGATTAGTGATTGCCGGTGCAACGTTGGCGTTTCCAGTGTTTTTGCTGGCACAAGCCCATAGCTGATCTGGCAATATACTAGCAGCGAAAGAAACATAGAGGTCACAGCAGCTTGTTTTCATGGGTTGTTGCAAGGACTTTGTGTGTCATGCTTTTGACAAACAAACTTGAGCGCCATGAGTCATGTATGTTCATGTTGTTTTCTGAAACGTGTCATTTCTGAAATGATCGGCAGGTTTAGTCTTAATAGGTCAACTTGTGGAAATTGGACACACATACATGAGTGACACACTTGTCAGGAGGTTGTTGGAGACTGCCTTTGTACACCCCTATTGAGAAATGACATTTATAGCTGTTCTCACACCAAGGATGAACATAAGGTCCTAACAGTCATTGGCTTTGTGCACACATGCCCGGGCATATGACATGACTAGCTAATGGCCAAAAAATGTGAGCCACTTAAGGGTCGTCGCTGGCTTTGGTACACTGGTACCCAGGAACGAATCATGAGGGTCAACATAGAAATTGTCATTGGCTTTGTATGCCCGTACCCAGGTAAGAGACGGGAGGGTCAACTTAGAATTTGTCATTGGCTTTGTACGGCCGTACCCAGGTACGAGACGCCAGGGTCAACTTAGAATTTGTCATTGGCTTTGCACGCCCGTACCCAGGTACGAGACGTGAGGGTCAACTTAGAATTTGTC